TCTCCAGCCCGTGCTGCGCCTGTTTAGCCCCGTCTATCCAGCCAAACACAAGCTGCTTGGGCATGCGGTGGCTGGGCATGCGAGCTACATGACCCAACCAACGCAGCCTCGCCTGCCGGAGGAGCTCACTGATCGGACTGTGTCCAGATCTTTCAAGGAGTTGTGAGCTCCTTACACAATCCAGCCTGGTTAAACCCAGGTTGGATTGTAGACAGGCTTGCCCGACTTCAAAGTGGCAAGTGCCAGGTTCAGGAGCAGCACCACCAACTCCTTCTCAGTCAGCAGGAATTACCAGACCATCTGCATTCACGTAATATGCTTGACCAATAGGGAGCCATTTCTTAACCGCACATGGATATCAATCAGCCTCCCATTGTAGCAGTGCCAGATATACATTTATCCAGGTACAGCCATGGAAAGCGTCCCAAACTACAGTGAGGGAAAAAGTATTTGATCCCCTGCTGATTTTGTACGTTTGTCCACTAACAAAGAAATGATCAGTCTATTATTTTAATGGTAGGTTTATTTGAACAGTAAGAAAAAGAATAACAACAAAAAATCCAGAAAAACGCATGTCAAAAATGTTATAAATTGATTTGCATTTTAATGAAGGAAATAAGTATTTGACCCCTCTGCAAAACATGACTTAGTACTTGGTGGCAAAACCCGACTTAGTACTTGGTGGCAAAACCCTTGTTGGCAATCACAGAGGTCAAACGTTTCTTGTAGTTGGCCACCAGGTTTGCACACATCTCAGGAAGGATTTTGTCCCACTCCTCTTTGCAGATCTTCTCCAAGTCATTAAGGTTTCGAGGCTGATGTTTGGCAACTCGAACCTTCAGCTCCCTCCACAGATTTTCTATGGGATTAAGGTCTGGAGACTAGCTAGGCCACTCCAGGACCTTAATGTGCTTCTTCTTGAGTCACTCCTTTGTTGCCTTGGCCGTGTGTTTTGGGTCATTGTCATGCTGGAATACCCATCCACAACCCATTTTAAATGCCCTGGCTGAAGGAAGGAAGTTCTCACCCAAGATTTGACGGTACATGGCCCCGTCCATCGTCTCTTTGATGAGGTGAAGATGTCCTGTCCCCTTAGCAGAAAAACACCCCCAAAGCATAATGTTTCTACCTCCATGTTTGACGGTGGGGATGGTGTTCTTGGGGTCATAGGCAGCATTCCTCCTCCTCCAAACACGGCGAGTTGAGTTGATGCCAAAGAGCTCCATTTTGGTCTCATCTGACCACAACACTTTCACCCAGTCCTCTGAATCATTCAGATGTTCATTGGCAAACTTCAGATGGGCATGTATATGTGCTTTCTTGAGCAGGAGGACCTTGCGGGCGCTGCAGGATTTCAGTCCTTCACGGCGTAGTGTGTTACCAACTGTTTTCTTGGTGACTATGGTCCCAGCTGCCTTGAGATCATTGACAAGATCCTCCCGTGTAGTTCTAGGCTAATTCCTCACCGTTCTCATGATCATTGCAACTCCACGAGGTGAGATCTTGCATGGAGCCCCAGGCCGAGGGAGATTGACAGTTCTTTTGTGTTTCTTCCATTTGCGAATAATCGCACCAACTGTTGTCACCTTTCACCAAACTGCTTGGCGATGGTCTTGTAGCCCATTCCAGCCTTGTGTAGGTCTACAATCTTGTCCCTGACATCCTTGGAGAGCTCTTTGGTCTTGGTCATGGTGGAGAGTTTGGAATCTGATTGATTGATTGATTGATTCTGTGAACAGGTGTCTTTTATACAGGTAACAAGCTGAGATTAGGACCACTCCCTTTAAGAGTGTGCTCCTAATCTCAGCTCGTTACCTGTATAAAAGACACATGGGAGCCAAAAATATTTCTGATTGAGAGGGGGTCACATACTTATTTCCCTCATTAAAATGCAAATCAATTCATAACATTTTTGACATGCGTTTTTCTGGATTTTGTTGTTGTTATTCTGTCTATCACTGTTCAAATAAACCTACAATTAAAATTATAGACTGATCATTTCTTTGTCAGTGGGCAAACGTACAAAATCAGCAGGGGATCAAATACTTTTTTCCCTCACTGTATGTGGTCGAAGATGTTCGTTAGATAATGTAGGAGCCAGAGGACATCCCTGTCGCACCCCAAGGTGGACAAGGAATGGCTCCTACTCCTGGCCAGGGGGCTTTACCTGGGCCTGCCCACCATCATGAAGGTTCTTAATGATTGTGAGCAGAGAGTCAGGGGCCCCAAATGGACAACGAACAACCCAGAGCCCTGGCCTGTTGATGGTATCATAGGCCTTGACCAAGTCAATAACGTCCTGTTGGAATTCCCTACACCTCTGCTGTAGCAGACGGACAGGGAATAAGGCATCTGTGCAGGACTGCCTCGGTCTGAAACCACTTTGGGGCACCGCAAGCCTCTCCTCAGCGTGCTGCCTGGCAAGGGGGTGATGTTGAATAATCCTTGCCAGGACCTTTTCCAGCCTCACACTGAGGAGGGAGATGCCCCGGTAGCTGTTGCAATGAGTGCAGTCTCCCTTCTTGACAAGGGTGACCACACCAGGTCATCCTTCCAATCCTACAGAACCCACCCTGCGGTTCACATGTTGTAATGTGTGGGGGGAAGAACAACAAACTAAACACAAAAAGCAATTCTAATGAAATTAGTTTTAAATCTAGATGATTTAAAAGTGCACAGCTCCAGTGGCTTCCGAATATCAGAAGGAAAGAGTGCCGACTTCCTGCAATATGTGAGGCACGGCAGCCGCAGCAGGGTCAGCACACCTTGCCCCATGGTGAATCCGAGCTGAGGAGTTCCCCCCTCCCCCGAGACCGCATAGAAATGCTCAGCAAACCTGCAGACCTGTTCCTGGAGGTCGGATCACAATTTTCCCCCTGTAAGGAAGGTCATAGATAGGTGTGGCACTGGAAGTATTTATTAAAAACACAAAGACCCCCGTATAGCCAGTAACAGACTGTTGGGGCAAGTGCTGTTAGCGACCAGCACCTACGAAGGCCGGAACAGCACACAGTGGTGTGGGTGACCAGCACCACGCTTGGCCGCCTTTGTCTCCCCAGTGGCGATGTTTACACACCACACCAGGTACTCGTTTGAGGCTGAGTCGACCTCGGGGAGGCCCACGACCGGTTCAAATAATCGTCACTGATGTTGGCCATGAGCGTGAATCGAACTCGGGTCCCCGGGTTTGTAGCGCAGCGCGCAAACCGCTCCACTACTGCTCTCCACTATTAAAAACACACACACACAAAGATCCCCCCCTTGTGGTCTTCAAAGACCATTGGGGCAAGTGTTCCTGGCAAGTACCTGTGAAGGCCGGCACGCCACACAAGGAGGTAGTGGGGGTGGTCAGCACCACGCCCAGCCACCTTTGTCCCCCTCTCAGATAATCTTCACTGGTGTTGGTGGCCGTGCGCAGGAACCGAACTGGGATCAACGGGTCGGTAGGGCAAGAGTGCTAACCGCTGCGCCATCGCTCCCCGCGACAAACGCTCGCACCAAAACGCACACAGGAATGCGCGTTAAATAATCGCACCGTAATTGTCGATGATGTTGCAGATGATGTTGATGTTAGCGCTGCCAAGTTGAGGCACACCCCAGCCTCAGCCAGGGGGTTTGTCAGAATGCAATCACGTGGTGTGGGGTCACGGGGTATCCCCTTCATACGCAAGGGGACACCAGAGGTCCCATCTCCAAGCATAGCAGGGGGTCTGAGACTCCTTAAACTCAAGAAGTCTCTGAACCCCGAGGTTTCTGAACCCCTGAATCTCTTACCCCCTGAGTCCCTGAGTCTCTGACCCCAGTGACCTCTGCCCATCTCTGATGCAGTCTATGTCTCCATGGAAACCTCTGCACCCCAAAGTCACCATAGCAACGTCTAATCCTATCAGCAGACGTCTCCATGGCAACATGAAACCACAGTAAACACAGAGGAGAGGACAGTGAGAGAAGGCGGTGAGAGGGGGCAGTGAGTAGAAGGGGAGTGAGAGGGGGCAGTGGAGGGGGCTGTGAGGAGGGGGCAGTGAGAGGGGGCAGTGAGGAGGGGGCAGTGAAAGGGGGCAGTGAAAAGGGGCAGTGAGAGGGGGCAGTGAGGAGGGGGCAGTGAGGAGGGGGGAGTGAGAGGGGGCAGTGAGAGGGGGCAGTGAGGAGGGGGCAGTGAGTAGGGGGGAGTGAGAGGGGGCAGTGGAGGGGGCTGTGGAGGGGGCTGTGAGGAGGGGGCAGTGAGAGGGGGCAGTGAGGAGGGGGCAGTGAGGAGGGGGCAGTGAGAGGGGGCAGTGAAAGGGGGCAGTGAGAGGGGGCAGTGAGGAGGGGAAGTGAGGAGGGGCAGTGAGGAGGGGGCAGTGAGAGGGGGCAGTGAGAGGGGGCAGTGAGAGGGGGCAGTGAGAGGGGGAAGTGAGGAGGGGCAGTGAGGAGGGGGCAGTGAGAGGGGGCAGGGAGAGGGGGCAGTGAGAGGGGGCAGTGAGAGGGGGTAGTGAGGAGGGGGCAGTGAGAGGGGGCA